CTGATGAGTCTCGTTTTGGTATGAGACCGGATACAAGACGTATACGACACTGGAGAACCCCTGGACGCCAACAGCGATTAAAATCCTGCCAGGAAGTCCATCCTTATAGTGGTGGAACCATCATGGTATGGGCGGGTATTTGGATCGGCGGAAGAACTGAGTTGATTTGGATCAGAGGCAACCTCAACGCTCAAATTTATGCTGAGACGATTGTATCAGACGTCATCGTTCCTCTACAAGTGCAAATCGGTCCCTTATTTCAGTTAATGCATGATAATGCACGACCGCACACCGCAAGAGTTGTAAGACAGACTCTCGCCGCAGCTAACATCAATGTCCTGCCCTGGCCTGCTCAGTCGCCAGACTTGAACCCGATTGAGCATGCATGGGATATGCTACAGAGAAGAGCTCTGCCGAATATGGAGGGTATCCAGTCGCAAGAAGACCTTTTTTTGTTGTTGCAACGAACATGGGCGGCCATTCCACAGCGTGATTTGGATGAACTCATTTTGAGTATGCCAAACCGATGTTCTTGTGTTGTTAGTGTTCGCGGTAGAAATACGGATTATTAATTGTTTAAGTTACCCAATAAAATTTTAGAGAAAACTGTTATTTCAGTCTTTTTTTCGAACTTTTGTGTTAGTGGTTCAAATGTCAAAAATCCCTTTATTAGGAAAATGGCAAATTTCTTTATTAATGCAAAGGTGACTTGGTTTATCGTTACTGTGACAAACGAAAACACTTTATTTGATGAATCCTTAAAGAAAATTTTAATTAATATCAATCAGGAGAAAAGTTATTGCAAAAATATATGTTGATCCCTAGACACTTTTGATGTGTGTAGTAACAAAATGTTTTATTGTTATAATTATACATGAGATCAAATCAAAAAGTTATCAGGCAATTAGTAAGGTTCTTGAAATTAGCGTATTATTATTAGCTTAATAATTTCCCAATATTATCAATGCCCGTTTAGACGGGAATTTCTAACAGACGTAGACGGCCGTAACGTATATTGTCGAATTTTCAACAAAAACGCAGACCAATTAGTTATTTTGCTCACCATTTTTAGGGTTCCGTAGCCAAATGGCAAAAAAACGATATTCATACAAAAATAGAAAAAAAAACGAATGGACTTAGATTTTTTTTTATCAAATCTTTACGTGTGGGGTATGGATAGGTCTATAAAATTGATAGGTCTATAAATTAAATATGGGACCCATTTCCACTAAATGTTGTTAGAATTCATAATGCAATAAGGTCGAAATTTTAGTTTGATAGTGTTTTGATGACATAATGTCATAACGAATCGACCCTTGAAATGATAACCTCTTTACAAAATACTATTTCGTGTCAGTGTCAGTGAAGAAAACAGTTTAATGTAACATTTTTACAAAGTATAATTCGGAAACGGAACATAACATAACATCGGAAATGATCTTTTGCTGTCGCTTCAGATGACGTAATTGCATGGTTGCCCCTAGAAACGTAAAGTTGTCAATGGTAAACATTATGACATTGACGTTGCATTAAAATATTAGCTTTATACAGCTTGCAGCAGATTGCTACACGATATTAAAAGGTGGGGCCCAGATTAAAGCTCGTGTCTGTACATTACCATGCAATCTTCTAGCAACAGTTGATTTGAACGAGATCAAGTAATTTGTTTTTTTAAATACGTCATATTATTTACAAATAATATGACGAATTTATAAAAACACAACCGCAATATACATTAAACCGCAATTTACATTTAATTCAATATAAACATATTTATTTAGATAATGGTACGGAACCCTTCGTGTGCGAGTCCGAGTCGCACTTGACTGGTTTTTAAATATGCATACTATTCAAATATACTGCTTATAGACATGTTTTCTCCTGCTAACCAATCTACAGTACAGACATGGATTATGAAATCTTGCAGATCCATGTTATTGTAAGCTGCCTTTTTATGATTTCATTTTTGACTATCATCATTTGCATGCCCTTTTCCCAATTCTACTGGCCATGTCCTCATTCACACAATCTATCCATCTTTTCTTCGGTCTTCCTCTCCCCGGGTAACCCTCCACTCTCATTATACAGGTTGGCTTATTGAAATGGGTCAGGATGGGAAAGTCTGAAACGATAATATATATGAAGATCTGTTCTTAGGAACAAGATTTTAATAAAAATAAAAACTGCATTCATACATTTAATAAAAACCCTGTGATCAGCACGGGAATCAAACCCGGTCGTTTTGAAAAAAAAAACTTACACTATTTTAGTTAAATATCGATTATGTAGGTCTGAAGCAGTAAATGTTTCTATTAAACGTGATGTCTAAAATGAGTAAAATGCATTTTTGTCACATAATTTAAATTATTTCAGTAGAGGTTCTAAGTGACCACCGTTTTTTTAATACAAAATTTAACACGTATCTTACTAATAAATAGAAATAGGAAATAGTGTTAGTTTTTTTTTTTCAAAACGACCGGGTTCGATTCCCGAGCTGACTATAGGGCTTTTCTTAAATGTATGAATGCAGTTTTAATTTTTATTAAAATCGATGACATAGTTCCTAAGAACAGATCTTCGTATATATTATAGTTCAGACTTTCCCATACTGACCCATTGAAATGAGCCATCTTGTATACTCTCATATTAAATTTTTGACCATTATATAATTATTTGCCGAACAAGGATTGCTGCCTGATTTTTTAAATTGCTTACAAAATCTTTTTGTGCCGACCAAATTATTTAAAGGCTGACCAATTATATACTTCTCATGAAACATTAGTATTTTGTGTAACCTCCTTCTGCATTTAATACGTCTTGTAAACGTTTCCTCATGGAACCAACTACCTTCTCACAAAAACCTCGACCTCTGAACGATTCCCAAACATCATTTGCATGTCGCCTTAAGGCTTCTGTTGTTCGACATTGATTCCCATCCCACTCTTGCACCATTTTACCCCAAAGGTTTTCGATGGGATTGAGGTCTGGACTTTTTGGTGGTAGTTTGATTAAAGTTAGTTCTCTCTGTTCATTAATCCATGTCTGTACTGTACGAGCATTATGTACTGAGCTGTTGTCTTGAAGGAATGTCATTTGTTGTTCTGGATAAAAAACTTGAGCTGTAGGAAGAAAAGTATCTTCCAGAAGTTCCTTATAATTCATTGCATTCATTCGTCCACTTATTTCCACAAGCTCACCAGGACCATCTTTGCACATCCATCCCCAAAATCCAATTAAAATACGTCCACTCCGGCGATTAGGCAGCACATTTTGTTCTAAGTAACATGTGTTTTCGGGTCGCCACAAACTTAATCGCCCATTATCTGATGAGCAGAGAACCTTTTCGTCCATGAAAATAACGTTTTGAAAATTAAAATTTAAATAATTAGCTGCAAATTGTAGCCGCTGCATTTTGTGCCTTGGCGTGAGAGTTGGTTTTTTTGCCGGTACTCTATTTTTTAAACCTCCTTCTTTTAATCGTCTTCTAATGGTGCTAGTGGATATTACGAATGTGCTTGAAAATTGTGTAGTGTTTATAAATCTGTCATTTTTGGCTTTATCTATAATAGCTATGTCTTGGTTATTTGTAGTAATACGCGGGCGACCAAATGAAACATGATTATTTAATGTTTCTCCTTGCTGCCATCTTTCTAGCCATAAATATACAGTATTTCTCTGAAATAAATACAATTTTATACTTTGTGAATAAAGTTTCATGTTTTGTGGGCAATTGATTTTTAGCATTTTTCTCCGTGATACTTACGGCTATCCCTAGCTCATCGGCGATATCTTTTACGGATAAACCATCATTTTTTAGTTGTATTATTTTATGTTTCATTTCCGCATCAATACGGTACGAACTCATATTAATTATAGTTAATTTATGGTATGAACTAATACGTAAGCAAGCTGCTTGAATTTATTTGTGCATGACACATGACAGAGGTGATAAGAATAAAAACTGGAAAGTGTTTAACTGCCAGCGTCATCTTATTATAAATAAATAATTAAGAGGTCCTATTAAAATTGTTCAGATATTTTTGAAAAGTTGTATGTTCAGATATTATTGACAGGCATCTGCTCAGATATTATTGAAGTAATGAATGATCAGATATTAATGGTCACTTGTAGTGTATAGAACTTATTGACATTTTAACTGTTCAGATGTATTTGGTCATCTTGTATGCTCAGATATATCTGATGGCGACTGTACATACAATTCGATTCGTGCCTGACGTATATCACTACTCCTTCATTTTGATTTGAGAATTTAGATACATAAGAGGTGTAGCCATCGATTACAGGTAACAAGTTAACTTTGCTAAGCCAGCACTCTGTTAAAATAATTATGTCGAATTTCAGTTTTATTCTGTTTAATAATATACTTAGTTCATCAAAGTTGCACAGGATGCTTCGAATATTAACATGAAACACTGTTAAGTTCTTGACCTTTGAACTAATATACGAAGAACATTGTTCTGGTGTACAAATAAACGATTTACCAACATCAAAGCTGTCTAAATCGTCAATAGTTTGTCTTAAACTATCCATTTGTGTAAATAATTATAACTAAGAATGCATTTGTTATAATAATATAATGGCACAATACCATAATACCTATATTGTATTTTAATACCAGATATCAACTTGTCCACTGAACACAAAGAGGTGTTTTTACCTAGGTTATTTTGAAGTAATATTATTGAGCTACGCAAACAATTACCGAAATGTAATTTTAAAATGTAACAATTACCGAAAAGTAATTTTGAAATGTAACTGCACTTAGAATGTGACTGTTTTTGTGTGTTATTAGGTGAATTACGTGTGTATCTATTTTTTGTCTTAAAGTTGTGTTTCAAAGGATATATTAATTTATTGTTCAAGATTATATAAAAATTTGAGTTAGAAAAATTATAAGAAAAACCAAAACTTAAATCAATACGAATATAACTATAAAATGAAATAAAAAATATGCTATAAAACTTAACTAAATGCACCAGTCACTTGTCATTTTCTATAAGTTGCGATAGATGCGCTTCGCAGTCAATGCGGTGTAAGGGACTACCTTCTTTTTTCCTGAGATAAACTTTACCATGGGATGACCAGCAATAACGGTAATCATGGGCCTTGGCAAAGTCCCGCGCCATATAAAATATTTTTTTGAATTTTAATGACAAACTTTCAGATATAAATATTGGTTTTGACGGCCCATCAAATTGCAAAACTGTGGTATTTAGTCGACTTTTATTTTCTGTGTTGTATTTTTTTACCGAAGACAGGAACTTTTCCTTCAAAATAACATTAACAAAGTCAATAACAATTGGCCCTTGGTATGATTTGGTGTACGTGCGGTAGGCGTCGCGAATATCGGACGTTTGTATAGGTACTTGTATCACTTTTCCCGTTTCTACCACCATTTTAGTAAAATCGTCCTTGGTCTCTGTTTTGTTTGAAGGAATATTACGAAACTCGATACAAGAACGCCTGTTGCGGTTTTCAAGGCTATCGATTCTTTCCTCTAATGATTGTATGTACGCTAAATGTGTGTTTCGTTCCCTTTCCAATGTGTCTAATTTTACCTTCATGTCGTCGTAAAGCTGCGATATTAAAATAGCCGATGCACTAATTTCTTCATTTTGCTTGGAAATAGTAGACACGGTTGTCTGGAGCGCCTCAAATTTTTTGTCTTGTTGAGTTTTGAGTTCACTAAATAACTTACGCATCTCCGTCATAACATCCAAGTCAAAGTCTGTTTCGCACCTGGATCGTTTGTACCTATGTATTACATTCAATGCATCCGCTGACTCGGCACGCGTCGACGCACTGATATTGCGGTCTGACTCTGATCTAGTAAGCATTGCAGTAGCGGCGACTAATGGGGTCTGTGGTGGGGTCCTCTGTGTCGACATCTCGTTTGCTTAAGTAAGAGCAGGATGTATGTACTGGAACGATAGTTGTCTCCTTTTTGTTGGGCGTAACTTGCTGAATCGCCGTTGATGTGTAAGGAAGATACCTTGCTGATTAGACTGTCGTCCTTTTCTTTTTGTTTTACTTTTATAAAAATTGTGCACTTTTAGCTGCGAACACGTCCGCTCACTACTAAGATCGCGCGGGGAACTTTCTTGCCGGTTCTTCTCAGTACAAAGTCTCCCGCCGTAGATTTGCGAACCAATGGCGTAGCTTTTCGACATTCACAAGTGCTTGTAACAGCCTAGACTGAATAAACGTTAAAGAATTTTATAGCACAGTGTGACCTAAACCCGCACTTTACGCACGATTTTCCGTGACCTAAGTTGCCTATTTCTGCACGGTGTGTAAATGAATTGACCAACTTCACTCATGTAGAATTAGTACATTACGATACGCGTCTTTTTTGGTCACCCATCCAATGACTCAATTGTCCTACATAATCGAGTATTATTACAAACATAAAAACATTAACACTCTTGCGTAGAGGTATAATAATAGCAGAATTATCATTTACCCACATTAGCGTTTCGACCAACTGAACAGTTAATTTGATGATAGAAGTACACGTGCTAATGTCGGCCCATTGTTGCCATCACATCCACCTTTGTTTTTCTGAAACTCGGCTGCTGAGTTATTGTCCTCTTGCCATAGGTAAGGGAGGGAAGAACAGGGAGGGTGTTTCTGTAGGGACGAGCAAAATGTATCGATAGTCTGCAATAATAATAAATAATAAATAAATATTTCCAACACTCACACCAATTAGCCTAGCCCCAAAGTAAGCACTGTAAGGCTTGTGTTATGGGATGCTAGGGTAACGGATAGAATACATATACTGTACATATATAAGTATATTTATATAGAAATACATATTAAACATCCATGACTGGAGTACAAATGCTCGTATTCATCACACAAACATCTGCCCCCACCGGGATTCGAACCCGGGACCTCTCGAGTCGGCGACACCATGAAACCCGGCGTATAAACCACTCGGCCACGGAGGTCGTCATATAACTTGTATCTGGACATGCGTTTATTTTATCATCACCATTTTACTTATAATGCGATTTAGGTTACCTATAATGCGAAGAGATGGCGCTGCCTTGCAGCTTAAGAATGGTTAGAGGAATTTCGACGTTGTCCGTGAGGGCCGCGGTAGCATAATTGGTCAGTGCATTCGCCCGGATTGCGAAGGGTGCGGGTTCGAGTCCCGTCTGCTGCTTGGTCCGCGTGGATTTTTTTCTAATTATATTTTCTTTAGATTTAAACAACAAGCAGTTACATGCTTTAAAATATAAAAAATATAATTACCATTTTAATTATTAATATGAGAATTGAAAAGTTTAAACCAGTTGGCAATTATCTTTCCGTGCACGAAAGTGTACGAGATTTTTACTTATGCACATTAATTTTTTATGGAGTGGAAGTTCTAAAGTTAATATTTTTGTTAACGTTACACTAACGTACATTTGATACAGTATTACAAAAGCATAATTCCCCTGACAGAAGAACCTCAATAACACTCAATCTCAAAAAGGTCATATTTCGGCCAAAACTCCTATTGGCCGAAAAACCTCTAGAGTTTCGATATTCTGATTCTGTGATATTTTTAATCCGTGTTGGCATCACAAAGTGCATTGACGCAATGGGCCAATTCAGAAGACCAGAGCAACTGTTTTCTCCGCCGCATTGAAAATTTTCTCTCCAACTCATGCTATTTTAAACCAATTAATAAATATATTGTAAATACTGTAGATAAGATATAAAATAAGACAAAACGAAAATATTAAAATAGTTTTTTTAGGTTATTTTTATTCCCTTGTTTACTTTCTTTCTTCCTATCGCTGTCAATGTCAGTGTCAAAATTTAAGTTGTCAGTAATCTGTTTCACGCATCTCACCTTTTGTATTTTATTTAAGTTTGTATTTTACTATGTGTTCGGCTTTATGGACTTGTATCCTGGCTATGTCAATTACTATTAAAATAAATGACGCAATGGTCGAACCAAAAGTGATATCGTTCTTACTATACAGCAATGACTCAGATTAACGGGTAAAACTGTACTTCCAGGGCCCAAGAGGAGATATTCGAACTTTTTTTTTGTAGAAAAGGTCTCTAAAAAAATTTTTTTTCTGGCGCTTCGCCAGCCGATTCCGCGGCACGCTCGCTTCGCTCGCTCGGCTCGCGCGTTATGGTCGCAACACTAACCTAACCTAACCTAGTGTGAAGTATCACCACTTGGGCCCTGGAAGTACAGTTTAGCGATATATATCTTTCTGATGTGAAACATCTATTGAGTCCGGTGTGATTAAGGTGACAATTCAGTGGCGTCACTCGCGTTAGCAAATGGCCACAACTTTAAACAGTAAACTAATCATAATGCACTTTTCAAAAAAAAAATCAAAATTCAAAATCGTTTATTCAGTCTAGGCTGTTACAAGCACTTGTGAATGTCGAAAAGCTACGCCATCGGTTCGCAAATCTACAGCTGGAGACCTTGTACTGAGAAGAACCGGCAAGAAACTCAGCAAGGGCTGTTTTTTTCTCCCTGTATTATATACAGAGTCGTCAAATTGAAAAATGACTTCATTAAGAGGTAACTCATAAAGTCACTTTAAAGTCACAAAAAAATGCAAATAATATAAAAAATATGAATATAAAATAAAAAAAAATATATATAAAAAACTGGTTTAACACAGTTTAGGAATGACGTGTCCTACCGTTTAGGCAAAAAATAATAATAATGAACGATTAAACTTTAGTACAACGTAGTTTTATTTGGCCGACGTGGCTATGAACTAATGAATCATCATTCAGAGATACTTCAGTAAGTAATAGTAGAAGATTCGAACCTACATCGACCTTCACCGAGTTGATAATAGAATGAAACATATTTTATCATGACTTTAGTATATGTATTAGAAAATATATTAAAAATGGGATGCCTAAAAATATCCTGGATAGACTATTATTAATTTGAAAAGATTAAAAAAAATATATGTTGCTACATCAAGATAATAAGAAAATGTTGTCCTGACTTAAAGTTGGTTTAACGTCACTGGCATCGACATATCTGTTTATACCTGGCAACCCAGTGATTCACCCAGGTAAATAATAGACAATCCACATTTTATACGTTTTATACTGTTTTTAGGACCAAATTTTCTTATTATCTTAATGTTGCAACTTTTTTTTTAATAAATTATAAATAGTCTGTCCAGTATTTTTAGGCAATTCATTTGTAATGTATTTTCTAATATACTAAATTAATGATAAAATATGTTTCATTCTATTATCAGCTCGGTGAAGGTCGATGTAGGCACGGTAATATTATCTATTATTACCGTGATGTAGGTTCGGATCTTAGACCATAAAGATTTCGTTGTTCGTTGTTAAATTTCAATTCGTTTTCTTAAAGCAGCATCAGTATATAATAATATAACAAGCACTGACAAAATAATTCTTAATAACACAGTCCAGTTATGTACACCTTTAATAGGCTTGTACAGTACTCAATGAAATTGTCATAATTCATAATTGAAAATAGATATTCTGCTCATCATTAAAAAAAAATCCCTTATATGATAAGTTTCATATCTGCCAGGTATTCTACGACAAGAAAATACAAAGTACCATAATAAAGTGTGTATGTGAATTTATCGGTTCATATCTAAACGATTCGTACAATCATAATTATGATGACACATATATTTTTTTGTAAGTATACCGATACAGAATTATGCGATAAAAAGTTGTAATAATAGATTTCAATTGAGATAGTTACGTAGTTTTCGGACTGACTATAGAAACCGATCAAAAATAGAAAATAAATTATTTATCATTTTCAATTCAAAAAATTTTTATTTTGAATTATAAAATTTTTAGAATTATTATTCATTTTATTGATAAATATATAATAATTTATAATATTAAAAATAATAAATATTTATGATTTCCCGATCTTTAAGAGTGAAGATATTTTATTAAATATTGATCAACTTTTAATATATTTCCTCTTTGCTGTATGTGTGTCAGAGCGCTATATCTTTAGAACAGAAACAGTGTGAATGTTGCTGTAGTGAAGCCATCTTGACAGGAAAAACATGAAACGGCGAAAAAAATTTTTTTCCCTCGAACTAGTTTGGAATTTCTATTTTTTTTAAATGTGAATAGTGGCAAATAGGTACAAAACCCGCCCAATTGTTGGTGGCAATCATAGAATATAGATTCTTACGATATCGCATAGTATCACTCGTGCGTTACCTACCCATCATCATCATCAGCCTATTAATGTCCCCACTGCTGTACCACAGGCCTATGGCCTAGGCCCTATGGAAAGAATAGGGAGACTGGGCCATAATCCACCACGCTGGTGCGGATTGGTGGGTGCTAACGACTTCAGATGCAGCCGGAACCGAAATCTTAAAGTGCCTACCAAAGCAGGAGGAGATCGAGATAAAATAAGTGTTTGGTCACCCATCCAATGACCGACAATAGCGATAGTTGCTTAACTTTCACGATCGCAGTCTAAACACTCTAGCCACGAGCGCCATCGAGCTCTTGCCCACTCCAACTCCGTGAAGACCTGAAACCTTACTCACTTCTTGTTACGATATAGAGGGTACTTCACAATAGAGGCGGCGCTTGAATTCGAGCAGAATAGCCACTATTTAAGGTAAGAAATTTATAGATATTTTTCTGTATATACGTATAACCAAAACATCGAAAATCATATCAAAGATTTGTAATTAGGCCATTTTATATCACCTTAATTATCGTCCTCTCCTCACCTATCTTATCTGTTTTGCTACGATGATTCGCATGGTAAACCAATTTATAGTAAATGACAAAAATATAATATTATCGATGTCGATAAACGCACCCATCGCAGTTCGTCCATCGAGGAAATGGCGTCCAACCATTTGTCACCCGAGCAGTT